TCCTCGTAACGACCCTTGATGATAACTCTTTACAAGCGATCTGCGCACAAGGGTTCTCCCACAGGGTTACCTTGGCCAGAAAATCGCCATGAGGGTTTGATTCAGGGGCACTACGGAGAGGCCGCTTCGGCCAGGAACTCAAGCGACTCCTTCACCCCTCACACTCTTCGGCCTGAAGCAGTGGGGGACTGGGGGACTACACCGGCCTCAACAAAACAAAAAGGAACAATGCAAAGAACACGAATGTAACCACAAAGCATTGCCACATCGTCCATATATCACAACGGCGCCTCGTCGGCCAGAGGCACATAACATCATCAGCAACGGCCAACAGGCCACCTAAGGCAAGGACATTCATCGTCCTCTGCCAACAGTCAACCATAATGGGCTCTTCGGCCAGGGACACGAAAGCCGGTCAGCGACGGCCAAAAAGAGCGCGCAAGCACCCTTACCGGCCACCCAAGGGAAAGGACACCATCGTCCTCAAAGCAAGGTTCAACCTCAACAGCCTCATCGGCCCAAATGCAAACCTCAACCATCAACGTCCAAAAAAGGGAAAACGTGCCTTCAACGGCCACTATCGAAGCAGGACACTCATCGTCCCCAAACGAACACGTCAAGGAAACAACGGCCTCCCCGTCCACAGCGAGGAGCAGGTAACGGTCAAAGCACAGAACAGGACCACCAAAATGGAAACAGCGCCAACGCCGCAACAGCTAACGGCCTGGGAATGCCCGCATCGGCCAAAAGCACCAAAGCACGAGAATCTACTCTCCTTCACTTCGTCTACGTCTCAACTTAGAGAGTGGGGGACTCCTGATGGAGTATATGGGTCTGAGCCCCAGGACCCACATACTCAGAAGAACAGAAAGCACAAGACACTGAGTGGCGCCCACGTCGGCCAAGGGACCCCCGTCGGCCGAAAAGGTGCCAACTCAGATTATGGTCCTGAAGCCAAGGAACCCGGGTGCCCTCGTCGGCCGTGCCCTCGTCGGCCGTGCCCTCATCGGCCACGCCCTCGTCGGCCACGAAGACTCCACAGAACCAGATTCTACACTTACTTATTTGTACAGCCCATTAGTGGCTTTGTATTCGGCCCAGTAGCGGTCCAGTTGTAAATGGGCCTCCCAAGCCCAAGGCTTGGGAGCCCAGCCCGTATTTTCTCTATAAATACTCCCCTTGGGAGTAGTTATAGGGGTTACAAATTCATTATATTGAAGCATATATTGCACTTCTCTCTCTAGCTCTCACTTCTCTCTAGATATACTCTATCACAACTTATAATATGACCTGTCAGCTTGTAGAACAGAAGTCTTGACCTTCGAAGTCCTTGGCTTGTTTATCCGGAGTATTTAACTGTATTTTTATCTACATTCATTTTATAAAATTCCACCAAATTATATACTACATATGTCCCAAATTAATTTGCAAAATTAACTTTTTTTTATCGAACAGTTTCATTTCATTCACTTAATTTGGATGCTAATTTTTAATTATATTCTAATTTTGGAGTTAGCAACTTTGAAGATATTTTAATGTAGTTTCCGAATATGTAAATTTTAATTATTAAAAATTCAGTTAATTAGCAATAGAGAGGATTTAACTTTAACAGTGATTGACCAAAAACTGTTGACTTTGCAACTCAATTTGGAATAGATGTTTACAACAATTCTCTTACAGTAAAAAATGTGAAACCAGACATGCTATTTGAAATAATGTAGGGATTCATATGTTTTGTATGTTTGTTAGTCAATTAGAATTATGTGGAGACAAACTTTTTCTCACAACCCAGTAAATAGTCTTATATGATTACTGAGCAAGTCCGTTAGAATGCAAGCTTGAAAATTTAGGATTTAATTAATAAAGCGGCAAAACTAAGGCATAGATAACTTTCCCTCAGTTTTGTTATCAATTCATTGCTAAAATTAACATTTAACTGCACCAATTTAACTACACCTACTAGAATAGTAATATCACTGATGGTACTAATAATAATATTACAAATAACAACAATAATACATTTTAAAAGTATTTGGTCTGATTTAAATGTTTTTGATCTAATCTGAACATTATTACCACCTCCGTGTCACTAACACTGAGACATGATGATGTGGTACGGTTATTAAGAAAATGAGTTTATGTGATTGATGTTGAATTAATAAAGTAAGAATAAATAATAATGATTTAGAATCACAAAACTTTACCAAATTTGATACGGAGTATGATACAATCTTAATAAAATGGATCACAGAGGAAAGATGAGCCAATCACTAACATTTTTCTAGTAAATTTGAGTGGGCTCATAGCTGACTTAGGCCCTCGTGCCTACGCCCCTGCTTCATGGATCCCACTCTAACCATGGATGGCATATGGACGTTTTAAACAGAAGTATAATTACAACTTTCTGAATTACTGGTGGATCAGTAGTTAGTGATGATTACCCACCCTCATGACCCATCATTTTGGAACCGGACTTGGGGTACACATTTGTGTACACACTCTTACACACTCGTGCCTGTGTAGGCGTTTTGTTTGTTTGTCCCAGACAACGTATTTGACAAATACGTTTTGTCTGAGACAGACAAAAAAACGCCTACACAGACACGAGTGTGTAAGAGTGTGGACACAAAGTGTGTACCATTAGATTTTTTCATCATTTTGTACAAATCATGATTTAAATAATTTGTGTGCTTTCAATCATTTTCAAACATTACTTCTCATCACTTTGTGCTTTCAATCATGAACTGATTACATTGCAACCATCGTAATATATGCAATTCCTTTCATTAATTATTAGTGTTCAAGCGGCTAGCATTACTTCTTCTTTTTTTGAAAATAGCTAGCATTACTTCTATGCACAAGTTTATAATTAAGAAACAAATTCACATATTAGCATTATAGATAACAATGAAAAAATGTATACTTGATCAGTGTTTTCAATTTTATCTATATGTTTCTTTTATAACGTTGTTTAGAGATATTATTTTCGATGACGTAGTGTCGTTTGCCAAATTTATATTCACCGTCATCTTCGGTCGGGCATTCATGTGTGCTAATAAGAGGTTTGCATTGATATCTTCATCAATCGAGAATATGATTTTCATCTGCGATGATATTGTAACGAATCACCCCCTTCTAAACCACCGTAGTTCCAAGAAGTTGAGATCACATGGACTGGTTTCTTTCCGGTGGCTGGCAGAAGCGGAATAAATTTTACACTTGGCTCCTTGCCGGTGGCTGGACAAATCGGGATGTTTAATACGAAGTAGTTTGTTTGAGAATTATATATTGTGATCGTAGCAGGAGCTGTCGACCTGAATTTAGAGTCTATTTCTTTACGAGATTAGCGATTCAGCTTTTTCAATTTGAATCGTCTGTTTATATGTCTCATCTCATTGTAGCTTTGAGTTATATGATTGTAGTTGTTATTGGGCATTTTCCCGATCGCGCAACGCGCGTCACGTAACTAGTTATTAATATAAATACCATACTAGGGCTACCGATGAGGTAAGCCATTATTCTCCAATTGTATTGTTTCACACGGTATCAGTCGCAAAGGTTTATCAACCCTAATTCCACATGTCGGTACCCTCTCCTTCTACGTCGACATCGGCGCCCACCATGGTGCAGCCGCCGATCCTAACATCGGACATCACCGCCTCTGCGGTGCCATATATTCCGGCGCCCCCTTCCACGCTGGAGCTGCCACCAACGTCCGGTGTGACACTATCACCACATATGACATCCAGGCTTCCGCTCCCCTCACGGTCTTCATATAATTTATTCTCTATGTCGGAGCCGTTTTCATGGACTCCAACTGCAACACTGCCGCTGCCTCCTTGTCATGCGCAGTTTGCTTCTCCAGCTCGGACCAGTCCTTCTCAGCAAGTGTTTTCGGGTCCAACATGGGCTGGACATCCCAACATCAATTCTCTTGAGCCGCCATCCTTCATGCGGCCCCCAGCACCTACGGTAACAGTTTCTCCCTTGGCTAGCCTTGCCTCTCAATTATCTTTTTCTACACCCAATGTTACAAATATCGTTACTACCCGACTAACCAAGGTTGAGGTCTATCTTCCATGGTGTACACAGTTTGAATCATTCATAGTTTCTCATGCTTTGTTGGGAATTTTGGATAGCTCAATTTCTGCCCCACCCGTGTCCATTCGTGACCCCACTGGTCGTGACATCCCTAACCCCGACTATTTGGTTACGCATTGATCAAACTGTACCCTCTTGGTTATTTGCTACGTTATCCCGCAATATGTTGGTTGAAGTTCATGACATTCGTTTTGCTGCCTTATTCTGGGAGCGATTGGAAACCCGGTTTATGGCGGAAAGTATTGCCCGATCCATGGAACTCAAACGCGCATTAAGTTCACTCAAGAAGAAGGACTCTCAATCCATGGACGACTGTCTTCATGAAATTAAAATTTTGGCCGATGCCATTGCTTGTATTAATTCGCCGATCAGTTACAAAGAACTTCTCGAAGCTACAGTCCAGGGTCTTGCCCGGGAATATGAATCACTTATCACCTCTATTACTCTTTTCCTGGACAGCTTTACTGTGGACAACCTTCGCCCTCAGCTTTAGAGCAACTTGCCCTTTATCTCCGATCCCAAAATGGAAATATGAAGTGTGGTGTGTGATTCAAAAGACTACAAATTAAGAGATTGAAATTGATTGAATAGGTTGAATTAAGAGAAATTGATGAAATTTTAGATGAAGTGGCTAGATTGTCTAAATTGACTGAATTTAGCAATTGATAAAATTAAGGAAAAAAAAATATAAGAATAACTAAAATGATCCTCTACGGTAATTTTATCTAATTCTGACAGAAAAGTAATTTTATTCTTATTTATTTTGATTATTACTTAAATTAGCGCGGAAAATAAAAAATTGCATGTCAGATTAAAAAGTTAGAAATAATTACACATTTATGACTAAAATAAAGATTGTTTAATAAAGGGAAAATTGTCAAATATGTCGTCGTAATTTCGCCAAAATGTCAATTGAATCCTTCTACTATTTTTCGAATCAATCAAGTCCACCAAGTTCAAAAAATTAACCAAATCTGCTGTTTGACCGGTAAGCAGCCGGTAACCCATATAACTGCTGATGTGGAAGCACACGTGGCAAAACTTTTTATTTTTCCTTCTTTCCCCTTTTCCCCTCTTTTCTTTTCTTTTTCTTTGCTTCTTTCTCCGTTGAACGGGTGAACCATCTTCCTTCTTACAGACCCTTGCTTCGTAACAGTACATTTCTTCCCTCCTTTCTTTCTTTTTTCTTTCCTTCAAGTTCACTATCCTTCTCCTCCTGATTTTCTCCCTCACCCCAATTTCTTTATTTTCCAATTTCCTTTTCTTTCTTTTCTTCCATTCTTTCTGATTCTCTTTCTTGGATGGATGTCGGCGGTTGAGAAGCTGTGGCATCCGTTGGGAAAAATTTAAGCGATGCGAGGCTGGTGACGGCGGTTGGGGAAGTTTGGGCGACGGACGGAGCTTGGCGGCGGCAGGTCAAACTTTGGTTGTGGAAGATCAGTGCCAGATTGAAGAAGTATGGCCGACGAGCAGTCCACAATGGCGGTTGGGAAAGTTTTGAGCGACCGGCGGCGCGCGGCGACAGAAAGGTTGTGGGTGACGGCGAAGTAACGGCGGCGGATGAGAAGAGTTGGTCGCTGGCAGTTTATTCTGGAAAGAATTAGAACAAAGAAAATAAGTAAGAAAGAAATAAAAACTGAAAGAAAAATGCAGAGGAGATTAGGGAAGAAGAAGAGGTGGTATATGAGAGAAGAAAGAGAAAAGCTAAAAAGAAAAGAAATGGAAAAACTAAAGTATTGCCACGTGGGCCTCCACATCAAAAGCTACCTGGTTGCTTACCACTCAAATGATGAAATTGCTTAATTTTTTTAAACTTGATGGATGTGATTGACTCGAAAAGCACTAGAAGGACTCAATCGACTCTTCCGCGAAAGTATGAGGACCTATTTAATAGTATTTCCTTTACAAAAATGTGACCAGTGACTAGAGTAGACGGAGTAGTAATGAAATCATACAAACTTATATTCAATTTTAAACTTAAATAACCAACCACATAATTATACTTTTCTTAAAAATCACACCACTTCCTTTCCGTCCCAATATTAGGGGGACGGAGGGAGTAGTAACTATTAGTCATATTTCTGTAAGTAAATTTTATTATAATAATATTTTTTAATAAAAACCCTTGTCAAATGGGCTCCATAGTTATAGGCTTATAGCCTATGGGTGGTAAAAATACAAATACCGAGTATCAAATATAGAAATTGCTCTAAATAGGAGTAAAAACGTTTTGAAATTCCAAAATAGTAGTATCATGTTTTTTATTCCCTGAATAGGAGTAATCTGTCAAGTTTGGAAAAAAATGCCATGTTTTCAAGGAATAAAAAACATGATACTCCTATTTTGGAATTTCAAAACTTTTTTATTCCCGTTTAAGGAATTCTCTCTATTAAATAAGGTAAAATTATCCCATAAAATAACCCTATCGGGTGAACAGTTAAAACCGGGCACTTTCTTTTCTTTAGACCAAATGGAGTGGTGAGGTATTAGGAGTCCAAAATGTTAAAATGGCATTTTTGGACTCCTAATTTCATACATTGGTTGAGTTTAGAGGGTATTAAGGGGGTGTTTGGAACTGATTCTGCTTCTGCTTCTTTTTTAAAGCAGAAGCAGAATCAGAATCAGTTTTCAGAAGCTGGTACCCCCCAGCTTCTAAAAAAACTGATTCTATGAGTAAATTAGAGCACCAGAATCACTTCTGTATTTTCACCCAAACACTCCAACTTCTGCTTCTGCTCCCTGAAGGAGCAGAAGCAGTTTTAAGAATCGGATCCAAACACCCCTAAAAATGGGTTTGGGGAGGGAAGGGATTAAATTTGGAGGAGTTTTGGACAGCCAAAAAGAAAAAGGAAAAGAAAAGAAAAAGGGGAGGGGGGGCATACCTGCTGTGCGCAGGCGGGGAGCAAAGGCATGGAGCCGAATTATTTGCCCTCGCTGACGTCACGGTGATGTCAGCATGATGTCATCATGCATTAGAAACGGTTGTTTTTTTAAAAAAAACTTTTGAAAGATCCATGATGATCTTGGCACCGTTTGAACAGTAAAAAAATGATCCAAGGGATGAAATTTAAATTGAACGGTTGAAATAATTTATTTTATTTTTCAGTTATTTTTGATTAATATTTTTCTCGAAAATACTATATAAACACCTCATTCCTTCTCATTTTAATCACACATCTCTCATCTCTCTCATTCTTCATCATATTTTTTCACTATATTTTTGTTATGTCTTCCTCAAGAAGGGGTGTTAATTGGAGTGCTAAAGAGGATGTTGTTCTATGCAATGCCTGGGTCACCATATCCGAAGATGGTGCCATTGGAATAAATCAACCGGGGGAGACTTTTTGGAGCTGAATTCATGAGATATTTTCGGCACAAAGTCATGTTCCTCGAACTCGAGATTCAATTGAGTCCCGTTTTAAGATCATCAATAATCAATGTTCTCTATGGAAAGGTTGTGTGCGAAAAAGGACACAAAGTTGAATCCAATGTCATATAATGTGCTATGAAAGGACACAAATAATGGAAAAGAGAATTCAATGTGACTTGAAAAGATACAACAAGTTTAGAACGGAATCAAAGTTGAGAAGAGAATCCAATGATCCAATGTGTTTGAAAATCACTCAGGAAAAAACGAAAAAAATAATGAATTTTTTTTTTTACATCGAAATGTATCTTTTATATTTTATAATTAATCAGACAAAAAATTAAAAGGAAAATATTACTTATAATAATTTAATTAATGTTTTACTAAATTGATATGTAAAAAATGTGCAGAGTGTATTTTATTGACGGTCCTGGAATGCAGAGAATAGGAGTGAAAACACTGCTTTCATATCGACACATATCCACGGAGTCCATTTTTGACATTTGGAGTCTTGTACCCCTCCAAATGGTCTTAGTAGCCCTAAAAATCTAACCGGTTCACCACAAACCGCTAGAGCGGGGAATCGGCGGCAAGGACACCACTGTAGCAGAGCATTAAACATATCTGCACAGACGCTCAACACAGTCTTCCGCAGTTCTGGAAGAATAACTACATTCTTTTTTCGCTTGAGGATCCTTCGGAGATTCAAATTACGGAAGGCTTACGAAGACGGAGAAAGATGAAGTTTCAAATCGAAGACGTAGTGGTGTATTTCCCTTATGATAACATATACCCCGAACAGTACCAGTATATGCTGGAGCTTAAACGTGCCCTAGATGCCAAGGGCCATTGTCTTCTCGAGATGCCCACCGGTACCGGAAAAACCATCGCCCTGCTTTCGTTGATCACCAGTTACCAGCTCTCCAAGCCGTCCGACAGGATTAAGCTCATTTATTGCACTCGCACTGTTCATGAAATGGAGAAAACTTTAGCGGAACTGAAGGCTCTGTATAAATATCAGCTCAAAAACTGCGGGGATCGCGCCAAAATGCTCGCCATTGGCTTGTCGTCGAGGAAGAATTTGTGTGTTAATCCAGACGTGGTTTCTGCAGAGAATCGGGATTCCGTTGATGCTGCCTGCCGAAAGCTTACCGCCAGTTGGGTCCGCTCCGTAGCTGCGGAAAATCCTAACATTCCTTCATGTCCATTTTTTGAGAATTACGAGAGGGCTGCCGTTGATGCTTCTTTGCCTTCCGGGGTTTATACTTTGCAGGTTCGGATTTCTCTCCTTCCAGTTCTCTTTCTTTGAGGGTGGGATTGGGACCTTTTTTTTCTGAGCTAAAATGCGCTTGCTCGTCAATATAATATGGATGGAAGCAAAAAGACGCGTGCTTTTCTGAGATTTCCTGCACTGTTTTATTTTAAATCATTGCATATGCTCTTCAATTATATACGGAGTAGCTGATAACCCCAGGCATCAGCACTCCGATATTTAAGTTTAATTAGATTTTGAATGGGTCATTTTTAGAGTTATTTTGTTATACCTCCATCTTTATTGGTAAGAATTGTTGCCAGAAATGATTGGATATGCTTAACTTTTGTTAAGAAAAAAGTTCATGGCATAATTAATGTATGCTTAATAAGTAAGACAAAGCTACTTATTCTGATCAATCTACTTATTCTGTTACTCCAAATTAAACCAAATACGCTGATAGTTGTTTTCTGTAGGTTTTACTCTCTTAATCATGTTAAACAACTATTGTTACAGGACCTCAAGGTTTTTGGTAAAGAGAAAGGTTGGTGCCCTTACTTTTTAGCACGTCATATGGTGCAGCGAGCAGATGTGATAGTCTATAGCTACCAATACCTCCTTGATCCCAAAGTTGCCGGTATTATATCAAAGGAGATGCAGAAAGAGTGTGTTGTGGTGTTTGATGAGGCTCACAACATTGATAATGTATGTATTGAGGCACTTAGCGTCAGTGTAAGGAGGCAGACACTTGAGGGGGCAACAAGGAATCTAAACAGGATGAAACAGGAGATTGATAGGTAAAAGTTTTGTGGTTAAAAAAGTTTTCTTTGGGTGATGACTGGCACTTTTGTGTACCCATACTTCTGATAAGTGCATGTTCTATGATATTTTAAAGCTTTGAGTTTGAGGCGAGTCTTGACAACTTCGATTCAATTTGTTTTGAACTTTGTTGATTTACACATGCTAGGAAGGTTGAAGGCCACAGATGCTGGTCGGTTGCGTGCAGAGTACAACCGTCTAGTTGATGGCCTTGCACAAAGGGGGAACCTACCTAGTAAGTTCAACTAATCACAGTTGTATTTTATAACAGTAACAGTTGACTATCTCACATTGGTTGTCTAGTTTATAAGTTGAGGTTTATTTGTATGAGGTAAACATCAACTTTTGAAGACCCTTTTGGGTAAGTTAGGCCCAATTTAACATAGTACCAAAGCCTGATCAGATGGTACTGGTTTGGCCGTTTTTGTCTGTTTGGGGTTTGGTTTTTGGCCCATTTGTTCACTCCATTCGCCTTTTCTCTTCATCCTGGGCTGAGCGGGTGTGTGAGAGTATTTCAGATCAGTGTAGTGTACTGAATTTGACTTTAGTGTATAAATGTGAGGTACACTTCGCTTCACCTCTCAAAGATCCTTTTGGGGTGAGTTAGATAGACATCTGACCCAATTTAAGAGTAACTATCAACTCCACACTTACATTTCTATGTTGTGCAGTATCGGATGCATGGCTTGCAAACCCTGCATTGCCAGATGATATCTTGAAGGAAGCTGTTCCAGGGAATATAAGGCGAGCAGAGCATTTCTTGTCCGTGTTGCGGAGACTAGTTCAGTACCTTAAAGATAGATTACAGACTGAGAATGTTGAAAAGGAGGGACCCCTTTCTTTTGCTGCTTCCATCAACTCTCAAGCTGGAATTGACCAGAAAATGTTGAGATTCTGTTATGACAGGCTTCATTCACTAATGATGACTTTAGAGATAACTGATACTGACGACTTTTTACATATCCAAACAATTTGTGACCTTGCGACACTGGTAGGAACTTACACAAGAGGATTCTCCATTATAATCGAACCTTTTGATGAAAGAATGCCAGATATCCCGGATCCTGTTCTTCAGGTTTGTTTCTAAAGAACGGTTTCGCTTTCAAGTAGCTATCTGTTTCACATTGTACATATGCCATAAAAGGTAATACTGTAATAGTTGACATCATATTCCCCATATATCATGCCTTTTGTTATCCTGTAGTGGATATGTATTTGTTTGTTAGAAATATTTGTTTTTAATCTTTCCATTGTAGCTTAGTTTTCTTTGTAGACTCATGTAAACTGTTATTGAAGTACATACGATATTAGCTCGTCTCTTCCATTCTCGAATTAACATGTCTTCTCATTCTGCTCGGCATTCTTTTTTGGGTTCTCATATGGAAAAATGTTGTGCTGACATTCCAGTTGAGCTGTCACGATGCTTCAATTGCCATAAAGCCTGTA